CTTTCCCTAATACTCAAAGTAAAAGAATTGTAGTCTGTAGAATAACAATTTCGAATCCCATCTCGATTTGGACTCAGTTCGCTAATTTTAAGTATAAGCATAGTTAACTAAATCTTCCTTAACTTATTATGTATCGGGTTTAATGATGATGTAAAAGCTAACTTTCTAACATAATTTTGCATTATCTTTTAATTATAATTCACTACGAATGATAACCTACTTTAATATTAATTATTTTATAAATCATACAAATTATGTTTTTTAATTGATGGGTATTGTAAGAGTTTTTACACTAATAAAAAATGACTATTAAACTCTTAATTTTTTTCTTTTCTTAAATACAATAAAAGTATCCTTTGTCATAGACAGTTTTATTCAAATCTAGTCAAATAATTGTCAACAACAATTTTTTTCTCAAAATATTTAACAAAATTGTAAATTTTAATACCGTTGATTTAATTAGAATACTTCTATATCAATTGATTTACATGTTCGATTGTTATATTCCTTATTTTAATATTTAATTATTATTTTTTGACATTTTCATTTGAATTATCTTAATTTCTTTGAAAATACTACTTATTTTAAATAAAAAAAGACTATTCACAATTGTAGCACATTCTTCTTTCTTCTTCCTAGCTTTCACGGGAGTGTAACACATTGTAGTAGAGTTTTTGAGTAGAGATTCAAGCTTAGAGAGCTTCGAATTAGAAACCTTAGATGATTGGTGTACTGCTCTTTGAAGGGCTTTAACTTTCTTCTTCCTTCTCCTCTACTCTCTTGGATTTTAGAGGTAAGGAAAGCTTACAATTTGTTGGTTCCTGTGTTGTTCATATTTAATTCCATTCAAATCATTCTTGTATTTTTGAATTATGGTGTTAAATTGAGTTAGAATTGAAGTTTTGTGTTCTTGAAGCATGTTGAGGTGAATGTGATGATTTTTGGTTGCATGTTGTGTTTTTTTATTGGAATGGAAGTGATTGGGAAGTATATAATTGTTTTCTTGTGTTGCATGTTGAAAATGTTTGAGTTTCAAGTGGATTGAGCTAATTTGTAATTCTACCAAGTGTAAAAATCACCATTGCGTCAAGCACAACTTCAAGGAGCAAGTGTTATGTAGGCCAGAGGCTCTTTGCCTCATTGGCGCCAGCTGCGGATTAGTTACTTCAAGTGTGACTTAGAAGAGAACTCTCTAACTTGGTCATGCCAAGCGTAGGTTAAATGACATCTGACATGGATGCCCTAGGAGCTCTCTAAATTGGTGATATTGAACCCTAACTGAGTGGCGTCAAGAATGATCAAGACAAAAGTTATTTGCCTAGATGTTGTTAGCCACCAATGTTGTGATGTTGGACATGAGTCAAGTAAAGGCTCTTTATCTAAAATCGAGTTGGGTGTAGGTTTTGCTATGTCAAGCATGATTGCCACAAGGGTTCTCTACCTCATTTACTCTGAGCACTAGTAGTTGGGCACTAGATGTGGTCGAGCCAAAGGCTCTTTGCCTGAATGACGCAGGTGTAGGGAGAATGGTTCCAGAAGTGAGATGCCTAACGAAAATGTGTTGTTTTTTGTTTAAGTTTTGGCTATATTGTGCATAAAGTGGGAATGCTCACATGTTATATATTGTAAGGATTTTGTACATGGATCTAGAATGATGTATATTGATGTTTACATTGTGAAATTTGTAAGTTGTTAAATATAAATGTAACAAGAGTGGTATGTTGTGTAGTGTTGAGTAGTTGGCTTGAGAATGCTTAAGTCATAGTGTTGAATTGTGTTGATTGACTTAGGACTAGAAGAGATGTTGTTTTTAAAAGTTGAATATCTCATTGTAAGGATATAATATTGTGGTGCTGTACGAGTCCAATTGTTGAAAATCCTTCTTGAGAAGTTGACTCTTGAAGAGGATTGTTGAGTCTCCTATAGGGCCTTAGTTTATGCGGTATGGGAACTAGGCTGAGCTATATTATCTATAAGTGATCACAATATAGGGGTCAAGTCGAGCTATACTAATTATTAAGTGATCGATATATATTCGTATAGGAACAAGGTCGAGTTAAACGTGTACAAAACAACTAATATAATAGAGTAAGGTACAAGGTCAAAAGCTAGAATCCCTAACTAAGTACTGAAAGGGACATAATATTTGGAGGATAGTCGACAAGTTAATTTCATAGGAGACTTAGTTATGCATGCTAAGGTCATGTTAGGCCCACACTCAAGCTATCCTACCTTGACAGGAATACTAAATATTTATAGTTTGAGTGGAAAAATCCGATAAATCATGTTGTGTTGTGGATTTTTATCCAAATCAATTGTTGATATAGCTAGCCCAAAAGACCATGTTGTTAGTTGATTTGGTATGGTCAAGTCATTTAGATTACTCACCTATGTTGCAAGAGATCTTTTAATTGAATGCGTGACAACTCATATAATTGTTGTGTTGTGTATATGATATGTGGATTGTGTTGTGTTGTTCATATGCTATGTTGAATTGTTAATGAGTTGTATTGTGGTGATATAAGTTGAAATGTTGATGTGTTGTACAATGGGGTACTTTGGTGAATATGAATTATGTTATTTAAGTTGGGAGACATGTATAATTTATACGATAACATTTATATGTTGATATTGGTAGTATAGTTATACTTTATTTCTATATTTGTTAAGTTGTTTTATGTAAGTTTACCCTTTCATGTTTCTTTGTAGCTATATTACAATAATCATACTTAATATGAAAGCAGGACAAAGATAAGTTGGAGGAAGAGTTTTGTTGAGAGTCATGTTGGATGATGGCGAATTTCTTTTGATGTTACCCTAGAATAGCAATTCTTTTATAATTGTTGTTTAAACCAATAACTAAGACTTTTATGCTTTTAGCTAGATTACACTAGATATGTGAATATATTTATGTATGTACAAGATTGATAGGAAAATCCCTTTGGAAAAATGTTTATATTTCAAAACATATTTTTATACATATTATTGTATGTATATGTAGGGACTACTTGCATGAAAAATCTTAGTTAATTTATATTTTTTACTACTAGTAGTTGAACCGTAAAATATAGAGTTGACAATCTTAGTTAATTTATATTTTTTACTACTAGTAGTTGAACTGTAAAATATAGAAATTTGTCAACTCGTTACAAGAAAAAATTTAAAACATCAAAATAATTATGATCCAAATTAAGATGAATTAAATATTTACCATCGTAAAAAAGTCTGAGCCGAGCCACATCTTTATATTAAAACTTGCATTTTATTTATTTATTTTTAAAAATGTTATAAATAATTTTAAAAATAAATTATAATTTCAAAATGAATGACAGAGCAACTCTGTGAGCTGCATGAGCAAGTGCGCAAATATTTTCTTATTTTCAATGCCCTACCCTAAGTCTAAATCTAGCATGTCAAACAATGCGTCGCATCAACCAAAGTTCTGAATATAAAACTAGGGGTTTAATAACCTTTGGCATCGAGTATATACAACCAAACAATTTAATGTCAATTTTTTGGGTACATATTTAATTTGTCAATTGTCACTTTATTAATAACAAACAAACAAATAAATAAATAGAAAGGAATCTTTTACGAGAAGCGTTTGTGTTTGAAGAAAGAAGGAAACATTATTTACCTTTTGAATGTGGCACAGTTAGAAGCGATTAACTATTTTTAAATGTATTTGACACTATTAATTATACTTATTTTGTTCTATCATTACGTCAACATAAGACACACTACAATTTTTTAAAATAAAATACACCACTAATGTTTTAAATAAGCTATAGCTTATTTTAATAGCACATATTATTCATCAACTAAATTTAAAGTATATTATAATCTTAAGTGAATAGATTTTTAAAAAATAAATAAGAATTTATGTATTTTACAAGTTTAAAATAAATTTTATTGTTGCATGATACAATGTATTTCATTCTATATAATTAAAAAAAAATCACGTAAGAAAATCCAGATTGTTTGTTATTTTTTTTTATTTCTAAAATAATTTTTATGACGACTTGATATGTCACTATATTTATTACGGTTCAATCTATAAGCAATAGAAAACATAAATCTAAATGTCTAAGATTAACATGGAAGATTTTCTAGATATATATATATATATATATATATATATATATATATATAT